ACTAAACCAAGGACTAAACCAGGACTAAAACCAGGACTAAACCAGGACTAAACCAGGACTAAAACAAGGACTAAAACAGGACTAAACCAGGACTAAAACTAAGGACTAAAAGGACCAGGACTAAAACTAAAGGACTAAACCAGGACTAAAACCAGGACTAAACAGGACTAAACAGGACTAAACAGGACTAAACCAGGACTAAAACCAGGACTAAACTAGGAACTAAAAACCAGGACTAAAACCAGGACTAAACCAGGACTAAACCAGGACTAAACCAGGACTAAAACCAGGACTAAAACCAGGACTAAAACAGGACTAAACCAGGACTAAACCAGGACTAAACCAGGACTAAAATAAAACCAGGACTAAACCAGGACTAAAACAGGACTAAAACCAGGACTAAACCAGGACTAAAACTAAACCAGGACTAAACCAGGACTAAACCAGGACTAAAACCAGGACTAAACCAGGACTAAACCACTAAACAGGACTAAAACCAGGACTAAACCACTAAACAGGACTAAACTAGGACTAAAACCAGGACTAAAACCAGGACTAAACTAGGACTAAAACCAGGACTAAAACCAGGTCTAAAACCAGGACTAAACCAGGACTAAATCAAGTCTAAACCAGGACTAAACCAGGACTAAACCAGGACTAAACCAGGACTAAACCAGGACTAAAACCAGGACTAAACCAGGACTAAAACCAGGACTAAAACCAGGACTAAACCAGGACTAAACCAGGACTAAACCAGGACTAAACAGGAACTAAAACCAGGACTAAACTAGGACTAAAACCAGGACTAAAACCAGGACTAGGGATTTCATTTTTTTTTTTTTTTTTAAATTAATTAATTTCTTTTTAAATATGGTTAAGTAAAGACTGGGCTTTTTATTGTCTTTAAGCAGACAAACATCTTGTGTTAAGATTTTCTAGTCTTTGTTATATTTACCTTAAACATTTATCTGTTCATGGAGATTTGGGCTCAACAATTTGAAGAACAAACATGAATGTTCAGGATGTGGTTGGTACATTCATGTCGTTTTAAAAAAGCACGACAATATCAAGTAATCCAAAGTATTCAGATTACATTACTCACTTTAAGTAATTAAATGGATTACATTACAAACTATATTTTGGGGTGTGTAATCTGTAATCTGCAGAGGATTACATTTTTAAAGTCACCTTCCCAACACTGCAGATTAGTAATAGTAATAATAATGATGATACTGTGGAATGTAAGTGACTGCATCTGTTAAAGTTTGTTAAACAATAAACGACTTTATAAAGCCACTATTTTTCATTCTGTATCAGTATTTTAATCTGCCACAATAATGTAATAATGAATTTAAATGAAAATACCTCAAATTGAAGCTTTTCTCAGCAATTTTTAGGTGAGATTAAAAAGAACTTCATTAGATTAATTAATTACAGATCATAATTAATTAATCTCTCAATTTTTTTTATCGCATGACAGCACTAATTTTGAAGTTTCCTGGAAGCTTCTGACCCCAATTTGACCTGTAAATGAATCGTTAATATCTCCAAAACTAAAACAGCACAGACGATCGACAGAGTTTTTTCGTGCAGGTTTGAGTTTGATGGGGGCGACGTCACACAGGTTATAAGACTGAACTGGGGACGTACGTGTAGTTCCCTGTCCGTCCAGGGGGGCGCTGACTCCCCCCGAGTAGACGGCGGTGACGGTGAGGTCGTAGGTCGTCCCGGGCTGCAGGTTGTGGAGCGTGTACGACGACACGTCTCCCACGAACATGTCCATCCTCTGAGTCGTGCCTGAGACCAGACGAGACACACGAGGGTCAAAACTCCAGCGCAGACACAAACTCTGACGGGTAAAGCTGCACTGTGTAACTTTTCTGGTGCTTGTTTCTATGGAGACGTCATTGCTCTGCCTGGAATGTTCCACAGTGTGACATTAAACAGCTCTGCTTTACATTTATTCAATTACATTTGTTTTTTTTAGCTCAAAAATACTCAGAAAAACAGACATTCCAACAGTGAGCGGTGTCGTCTTCGCCTCTCCACAGATCTGACCTGGAACTTGGTCTGGTTTGGTCTCCGTGGAGATAGAAAAGTTTAATGCCACACTGTGGAATATTCCAGACAAAGCAATAACATCTGTATGAAAAAAAAGTAGCAGGAATGTTACTTCAAAATATGACTGAAGTAAAAGTAGTGACTCCATTAAAAGTAAAGTATTTGGGAAAAGTACTACTCGATTAAAAGTAACTTAAAGAGTTCAGGTCAGAACGTGACTCGGATTTGAAATTTTAAGTGAATATGATTTGACCAAACATGAAATAAGTCACAAAATCTGGTGTTTTTTCAAAAGACAGAAACAAAAAAATGAGACAAACTAAATCAGAGAAACCACAGCTTCAATAAAAGTACTGTTACTTCAATTCAAAATATTATTACTCAAGTAAAAGTGCAGCTGGAAAAGTACTCTGAAAAGCACAATTTATTTTAAAAGTTACTCGAGTAAATGAAACTGAGAATTAAAGATGTCTGAAAATAAAAAATAAACGTCATTAGTGCTGCTCGTGTTGGCTCGAAACTGCAAAAAAACTTGGCCAAAATTTAAGATCTAAACTCTTAAATCTCTCAGAAAAGTCTTTAAAGTAGTGAAATGCAACAAGATCATTCTCTTAAAATAAACAAACCCTGAAAACAAGATGAAAAACCCAATAAAAGTGTTAAAATCTTGTGCAGTGTGTGTGTTGTGTGTGTGTGTGTGTGTGTGTGTTTGTTGTAGTTCCAGGTCTGACCTGTGGGGGCGTAGCTTGAGTCGGTTGTGTGTGTGTGTGTGTGTGTGTGTGTGTGTGTGTGTATGTGTGTGTGTGTGTGTGTGTGTGTGTTTGTTGTAGTTCCTGGTCTGACCTGTGGGGGCGTAGTTGAGTCTGTTTGTGTGTGTGTGTGTGTGTGTGTGTGTGTGTGTGTGTGTGTGTGTGTGTGTGTGTGTTTGTGTGTGTGTAGATGTGTGTGTGTTGTAGTTCCTGGTCTGACCTGTGGGGGCGTAGTGAGTCTGTTTGTGTGTTTTAGTGTGTATGTGTGTGTGTGTGTTTAGTGTGTATGTGTGTGTGTTTGTGTGTGTAGATGTGTGTATGTGTGTGTGTTGTGTGTGTAGATGTGTGTGTGTGTGTGTGTTGTAGTTCCTGGTCTGACCTGTGGGGGCGTAGTTGAGTCTGTTTGTGTGTGTGTGTTTGTGTGTGTGTATGTGTGTGTGTGTGTGTGTGTTTGTGTGTGTTGTGTCTGTGTGTATGTGTCTGTGTGTGTGTATGTGTGTGTGTGTGTGTTGTAGTTCCTGGTCTCACCTGTGGGGGCGTAGTTGAGTCTGTTTGTGTGTTTAGTGTGTATGTGTGTGTGTGTTTGTGTGTGTGTAGATGTGTGTGTGTGTGTGTTTGTGTGTGTGTAGATGTGTGTGTGTGTGTGTATGTGTGTGTGTAGATGTGTGTGTGTAGATGTGTGTGTTGTTGTAGTTCCGGGTCTGACCTGTGGGGGCGTAGTTGAGTCTGTTTGTGTGTTTAGTGTGTATGTGTGTGTGTGTTTGTGTGTGTAGTGTGTGTGTGTGTGTGTATGTGTGTGTGTGTGTGTGTGTGTAGATGTTGTGTGTGTTGTAGTTCCTGGTCTGACCTGTGGGGGCGTAGTTGAGTCTGTTTGTGTGTATGTGTGTGTGTGTGTATGTTTGTGTGTGTGTGTGTGTGTGTGTGTGTTGTAGTTCCGGGTCTGACCTGTGGGGGCGTAGTTGAGTCTGTAGCCCTGGACCGGGGCCTGGACCGGGTCCCAGGCGACTCTGAAGCGCGTGTACCACTCGTCCGACACACGGAGGTTCCTCGGACTCAACAAGCCCACTGAGAAAAAAGAAGAAGAAGAAGAAGAAGAGGAGTAAGAGAGGAGGAGGAGGAGGAGGAAGAGAGAGGAGGAAACGAGAAGAGGAGGAAGGAAGAGAGGAGGAAACGAGAAGAGGAGGAGCAGAGGAGAAAAGGAGGAGCAGAGGAGGAGAGAAGGAGAAGAGGAAGAGTATAGGAGGAGGAGGAGGAGGAGGAGGAGGAAGAGAGGAGGAAGAGGAGGATTAAAAGAGGAGGAGAGGAGGAAGAGGAGGAGGAAGAGTAAGAGAGGAGGAGAGGAGGAAGAGGAGGAGTAGAGTAAGAGAGGAGGAGGAGAGGAGGAGAGGAGGAAGAGGAGGAGGAGGAGAGAAGGAGGAGAGGAGGAAGAGAGGAGAGGAGGAGAGGAGGAAATGAGAAGAGGAGGAGCAGAGGAGAAAAGGAGGAACAGTAGAGGAGGAAGAGTAGAGGAGGAGGAGAAGGAGAGAGGAGGAGGAGGAGGAGAGGAAGAGTAGAGGAGCAGAAGAGGAGAGAAGTGTAGGAGCAGAAGAGGAGGAGAAGCGTAGGAGCAGAAGAGGAGGAGAAGTGTAGGAGCAGAAGAGGAGGAGAAGAGAAGTGTAAGGAGCAGAAGAGGAGGAGAAGTGTAGGAGCAGAGGAGGAGGAGAAGTGTAGGAGCAGAGGAGGAGAGAGGAGGAGAGTGTAGGAGCAGAAGAGGAGGAGAAGTGTAGGAGCAGAAGGAGGAGAGGAGGAGCAGAGGAGGAGCAGAGGAGGAGGAGAAGTGTAGGAGAGAGGAGGAGAGAGGAGTGTAGGAGCAGAAGGAGGAGAGTGTAGGAGAGTGTAGGAGCAGAGGAGGAGAAGTGTAGGAGGTCCTCACATGTGCGTCCGGGTCCGTTGAGCGCCCCCCCTGGTCCCTCTTCGTACTGCGCCTCCACCGTGATGTTGTAGGGAGTATCTGGGAGCAGGTTGAGCAGACGAGCGTTGTTCCTGTTCCCCGGGACCGTGTGCTACAAACAAACAAACAAACAAACAAACAAACAAACAAACAACGATTCAAAAACACTTCAATAAAATAAAATAAATCATTCAAAAATAAAAAAGGTGACTCCAGACCAGATCTTTTGTTCTGTTTGAAAAGGAACTCAACCGATCCAAACTATTTCATGGAGTTTGGAAAGAAACGAAAAGAAAGAAAAGAAAGAAAGTCCTCTGAGTTTGTCGTTTCATCAAATTTTTCAAAATTCTAAACTGGGACGCAGCAGGATTTGGATTTTTGGTGTAAATATTAAAAGGAGTAAAAAAATAAATAAATAAAATGAACAGTAAATAGTAAAAAAAATAGTGAAAGGAGCGTGTGTAATATTGTGGATTCTCGTGTCTGCAGTGTTGGGAAGTTTAAAATGTAATCCCCTACAGATTACAGATTACAGATTACATACACCAAAATGTAGTTTGTAACGGAATCCATTAAGTTACTTAAAGTGAGTAATGTAATCTGATTACTTTGGATTACTTGGTTTGTTGGAGAGATGCAAAGACTAGACATGGTCCACGCAGCACGATTTAGTCCTGTTAAATCCTGGTTTAGTCCTGGTTTAGTCTTGGTTTAGTCCTGGTTTAGTCCTGGTGTTAGACCTGGTTTAGTCCTGGTTTAGTCTTGGTTTAGTCCTGGTGTTAGACCTGGTGTTAGACCTGGTTTAGTCCTGGTTTAGTCCTGGTTTAGTCCTTTAGTCCTGTTTAGTCTTGGTTTAGTCCTGGTTTAGTCCTGGTTTAGTCCTGGTTTAGTCCTGGTGTTAGACCTGGTTTAGTCCTGGTTTAGTCCTGGTTTAGTCCTGGTTTAGTGTCCAGCAATTAGTGGAATTACCGGGAAAAAAGGGGATTTAGCCCGAAATGTAAAAACAGTTAAATCTCTCTGTTTAATCCATTTACTTCAACAAAGTAACTGTAATCCAATTACCACTCACTGAAACAGTAACTGTAACTGAATACAGTTACTCATCATTTGTACTCTGATTACTCTGGTACATGTAATCTGTTACTCCCCAACACTTCGTGTCAGTCATAATCTGAGTTATTTTTTATTTAATTTTTTTGTTTTATGGTCGTTTGTAAAACTGCAGTTTTTCTGTATTTTGGCAAAACAAATGACAGTTTCTGCTCCTCTGTTCTGCTCTGAATCATTAAGAAGTTTCCGATTCGATACAAACCTCGATACAGTGAGTTTTCGATTCGATTCGATATATTTCAAATCGATTCGATACGGTTCAATAAAATAAAGTCAACTTCTTCTTGTGCAAAATTCATGTGAAACACAAACATTTTAATCGTCAAAACAGTGAAAATGTCAAATGTGTCGCATAAACGAGTTTCTCTCCTCTGAACAAACAACAAAACTGGAACTGGAACAAAATAATTTAGTAAAATAAACCAAAAAATCCTCTTGATGATATTATCGATACAACAGCCCACGATATCGATACTGAATCATCACATTAAACGATACGATATATCGATATTTCAGTATTTTTGCACATCCCTTAGTTGGCAGGGATCAGATTAGTCAAATATTGTGAGTCCTGGTTTAGTCTTAGTTTAGTCCTGGTTTAGACCTGGTTTAGTCCTGGTTTAGTCTTAATTTAGTCCTGGTTTAGTCCTTTAGTTTAGTCCTGGTTTAGTCTTAGTTTAGTCCTGGTTTAGTCTTAGTTTAGTCCTGGTTTAGACCTGATGTAGTCCTGGTTCAGTCCTGGTTTAGTCCTGATGTAGTCCTGGTTTAGTCTTAGTTTAGTCCTGGTTTAGTCCTGGTTTAGTCTTAGTTTAGTCCTGGTTTAGTCTTAGTTTAGTCCTGGTTTAGACCTGATGTAGTCCTGGTTCAGTCCTGGTTTAGTCCTGATGTAGTCCTGGTTTAGTCTTAGTTTAGTTTTAGTTTAGTCCTGGTTTAGACCTGATGTAGTCCCGGTTTAGTCCTGGTTTAGACCTGGTTCAGTCCTGGTTTAGTCTTAGTTTAGTCCTGGTTTAGACCTGGTTTAGTCCTGGTTTAGTCCTGGTTTAGTCCTGGTTCAGTCCTGGTTTAGTCCTGGTTTAGACCTGATGTAGTCCTGGTTCAGTCCTGGTTTAGAATTTTTATTTCTGTGTAAACTACAAGAAGAATATTTAAATTCCAAACTATTTAATTCTGAACAATTAATTCAGAATTAAAAAATATCATGTAAAGTGGCAGATTTACTTGTCAACAAAAGAAGTTCCACAGTGCAGCTTTAGTTTCCTTTAAGTTTTCTCGTGGACTTTTGTTTTTTGTTTTTTTTTTTGGCTGCTCTTCTAAAACCACAGACAGGAAAAGTCTAATCCTGTTTGATTTTATGATGAGCTGCTCCACACCTGTGACTCCTCCTCCTCCTCCCCTCCTCCTCCTCCTCCTCCTCCTCCTCCTCCTCCTCCTCCTCCTCCTCCTCCTCCTCCTCCTCCTCCTCCTCCTCCTCCTCCTCCTCCTCCTCCTCCTCCTCCTCCTCCTCCTCCTCCTCCTCCTCCTCCTCCTCTCCTCCTCCTCCTCTTCCTCCTCCCCCTCCTCCCTCCTCCTCTCCTCCTCCTCCTCCTCCTCTCCTCTCTCCTCCTCTCCTCCTCTCCTCCTTCCTCCTCCGCCTCTCTCCCCTCCTCCTCCTCCTCCTCTCCTCCTCCTCCTCCTCCTCCTCCTCCTCCTCCTCCTCCTCCTCCTCCTCCTCCTCCTCCTCCTCCTCCCCTCCTCGTCCTCGGAGCTTTAAATCCGGTCTTCTTTACGGTCTTTGGTCTGGATCCTGGTCTCTGGTCCACAGATGTGAACTTTTAAAAACCATAATTCCTCTGATTCTGAGGAACGTCAATGTTTATCCTGCTCAGCCTCTAATTATCACCGCGGCGACGCTTAAAGAGACACAAGTGAAGTCACCGCATACCTCCAGCCCCGCGTCACGCCAACCTGCGAGCCAGACGCCCTCCCGCTGCCCCTCCGCCGCAGTGAGCCAGCGCCCCCGCCGTGAGCCAGACGCCCTCCCGCCGTGAGCCAGATGCCCTCCCGCCGCCGTGAGCCAGACGCCCTCCGCCGCCGTGAGCCAGACGCCCTCCCGCCGCCGTGAGCCAGACGCCCTCCCGCCGCCGTGAGCCAGACGCCCTGCCGCCGTGAGCCAGACGCCCTCCCGCCGCCGCCGTGAGCCAGACGCCCTCCCGCCGCCGTGAGCCAGACGCCCTCCCGCCGCCGTGAGCCAGATGCCCTCCCGCTGCCCGCCGCCGTGAGCCAGATGCCCTCCCGCGGTCCTCCCCGTGAGCCAGATGCCCTCCCGCGGTCCTCCCCGTGAGCCAGATGCCCTCCCGCTGCCCTCCCCGTGAGCCAGATCGCCCTCCCGCCGCCGTGAGCCAGACGCCCTCCCGCCGCCGTGAGCCAGACGCCCTCCCGCCGCCGTGAGCCAGATGCCCTCCCGCCGCCGTGAGCCAGATGCCCTCCCGCGGGCCTCCCGTGAGCCAGATGCCCTCCCGCCGCCGTGAGCCAGACGCCCTCCCGCCGCCGTGAGCCAGATGCCCTCCCGTCCTCCCGTGAGCCAGATGCCCTCCCGTCCTCCCGTGTCCCTGTAGCCTCTCAGATTTTGGGGGTTTGCAAAAATATTTTAAAAAATGTGATGATTCAGTATCGATATCGTGTGCTGCTGTATCGATATTTCACCAAGAGGATTTGTTGGTTTATTTTACTAAATTATTTACTTACATCTTCAGTTTTGTTGTTTGTTCAGAGGAAGGAAACTCGTTTATGCGACACATTTGACATTTTCACTTTTTTAATGATTTAAATGTTTGTTTCATATGAATTTTGCACAAGAAGAAGAAGTTTAACAAAGACTTTTAGTGTCACAGACATGATTTAAACTTTACTTTTACAGGCGAGTTTCATTGTTGACAAAAGCGTGCGTTGCATGCTGGGAATTATTTTGGTCGGCGGCAAGAAACACTAATTCAACATGACGGACGGAGCGAGAAAACACGTAAAGGGTATTGATCCTGGTTATTTATCCACTCTAACGGCAGACGACCCAAGACCATTTGACCAGAAATTGGTCATAAACATCGACGGACGACAAATCACCCTTTTCAACCCCGACAAAAGGTGGAACAAACCAAAACAACATTCAGATGCACCTGAAGTTTCCCAAATCTGATTTTTTGTCTCTATGTTCCTGTATCTGATCTTTTATTGTCAGTCTGAACCACACAGATCTGATGTTTTCAAACATGACCCAGGACACTTGGATCTGTGCTCCTGAAACTGATCCATATCTGATCTTTAACATGTGACTTCAGTGTGAACGGTCAGGTCACATTCATCCACCTACACGTCATCAACAAGACACAAACGTCACTATTCTGCACTGAAGTAGGAGAAAACTGTTCATGAACTCGAAGCACATCTCCACTCACCACAAAACACCACCACCAAAAACCTGGTCCTTCTCCTTCTCAATCTCCTCCTTAAAACAAGTCAGTTGTTCATGTTGTGGCTCCGGTACGAGAGGAACTTTAAAATCTCCAGGTGCTCGATGCTGCGTCCATGTTTGTTCAACTTGTGTAAACACAGAGACGCTCGCTGCGGTTGACGTCGTCGTGTCTCCAGTGTCACATGTGGGACACTTTTGGACCGTTTAATGTTCACACTGGAGTCACATACAAGTCACATTTAACTGGAAATGTGAACAAGCTCGAAAAAACATCGGATTTCACAAGAAAATCGGAATTGAGCGTTAAACCCTGCAGTCTGAACTTTGACTTTAGTTTTTACTGAATTGTATCGAACTGATTTGAAATATATCGTATCTAGAGGTGCAAAGGTTCATGTATTCGAGTATTCGGTGGTTGGGTTCGGTGCAGGTCTGTGCACGAGTGAATGTGCAGTCGTGACAGTGGGTGTCAGCGTCTCCTGCGGCGCTTTATAGTTAGAGCGGCCGCCTTCACACACTTGCCCCCAGGACGTCCCTCCGAACCACGTGACTCCTCACAAAACTACAGCTGTTGCGTCCAGGTCCTCACTTTCGCCTTTCACCGCCACGAAATCTCCGTCGACCCTCGTCAAACCTGCGGCGTCGGTCTTTTCTGTGTTTTCATCCTCTGGGGACGTTGCACCTGCAGCAGATCTGCTCTTACTGCAGACACCGTCGACAAGTTTGTTTTTTTTCTGTCCAAAAATCTGCAGATTGAGTAAAAGTTCTTGCTGAACTGTCAGTGCTGAGCTTTACTTTTGGAAAAGTTTTGTTTACTGTTCACAAGGAATTTATTTTTTATAATATTTCATACATTTGTTGCTTATTTGAGAATATTTTATTGAACTTTTAACTTGTAGTTTTACCAAGCAGCACTTTGCATTTATTTTATTTTCCCGTTTGTAAAATGTTAAAACTAATTGTTGGTTTAATAAACAAATAAACAACAAGGAAATGATTTTGCATTTTGTTCCCAAACTGAACCAAAAATGACCCGACTGTGACCTCAAAACCGAGGGATGAACTGAATCCTCGTAACTATTGGTATCGAACCGAAAGTTTGCTGTATCGAGGTATGTATCATATCGGCGACGTTCTGAATGATACTTAGTCCTGGTCAGATGCCCTCCCGTCCTCCTCGTTTGTGTCAGATGCCCTCCCGTCCTCCTCGTTTGTGTCAGATGCCCTCCCGTCCTCCTCGTTTGTGTCAGATGCCCTCCCGTCCTCCTCGTTTGTGTCAGATGCCCTCCCGTCGGACTTTCTTTTGCGGCGAACTGGTCGTGGATTCTCGTCCGCCATCGCAACAAACTTTGTGCGAATTGCGAGGAAGCAACAGTTTGAAAAAGCCTCAAAGAACCGCTGCATAAACCACGTAATCCCCGAGCGCCGACGACTCAGTTACACTAAAAATGTAGGGAGTTTGACTGACAACCTAACAGCCAATAGAAAAAGAGGGAGCCTCGTTTTCTATTGGCTGATGTTTATCTGGCCTCACTACGTCCACAACTGATAGATTTTCATTCTTTCTTTTTTTTTTCCCGTCATCATAATTAAAAAGCTGCTGCGTCTTTGTAATGGTATTTTAAACTTTCAATGACAATTTTAAACAAAAAAAAATCCTCCGTACAACCTTTAAATCTTGTGAGTTGCTGCTGCTCGATTACGGAAAAAATCATTATCATCATTATTTTGGTCAATATTCAAATCATGATTATTCAAACCATTATTTAGTTTATTTAGTTACATGATGCAGTTTATTCAGCATTTCTCTCTCTCAAAAAAAACAAAAACACTTTGTTAATAATTTACGCAAAACTGAAAAGAAATATCAGCTACAACTCTGAACCTTAGAGCAGTTTTGCGACGTATAAAACATAAAATGATAAAATATACTATATCCAGCTGTTCTACAATAAATACACTTATTTATTTAAAAATATCCCACACTAAACTTTGTTAAAGGCTGTATGGAGGATTTTTTAAGGGAAGAGAAATACAGCGACAGTCCTTTTTCAAACGTTGTGCATGTGTGACACGACCTTCCTCCTAGAAACACCTCCTCCTCCCGCCTCTTTACTCTAGAAATCAGCCAGTGCACGTTCAGAATCACTGTTGAAGTTTCCTGTCTAGAAATAATTTAGCGAACGACGCATCAGTTTTTAGACCCTTCGTCCGCTTCAGTCGCGCCATCGCTGGAAGAGATCTCCAAGAAACACCTCGGTTTGGCTTCGCTCCTTTTCCACCTCTCTTCTTCTTTCAGCGACCTCAAAAACGGACTTTCTTTGCGCACGAACCGGTCGTGGATTCTCGTCCGCCGTCGCGACAAACTTTGCGCGAAATGCGAAGAAGCGACAGTTTGAAAAAGCCTCTAAGAACCGCTGCGTAAACCACGTGATCCACCGCGCTCCGACGAATCAGTTATACTAGAAACGTAGGGAGTTTGATTGACAACCTAACAGCCAATAGAAAATGAGGCAGCCTCGTTTTCTATTGGCTGATGTTTATCTGGCCTCAACACGTCCACAGCTGATAGATTTTCGTTCTTTTTTTTTTGGTCATCGTCATTACAAAGCTGCTGCGTCTCTGTAATGGGATTTTAAACTTTCATTGACAATTTGAAACAAACAAACAAAAAAATCCTCCATACGACCTTTAAGCTCGGTTGATTCTACTTGATTATGTGAGTTTGGAGATTGTTGACACACAAATTGAAACTGGACGTGTGTGACTCACGAACTCGGTGATGGGGTCTCCGGTCAGCGGGGCGTAGCTGATCCTGTACTGCCTCACGGGGCCCGCGGCGTGATCCCAGCCCACAGTCAGGAACTCGTGGTCGCCTCCAGGACCCGAAGGTTCCTGGGACCGGCCCTGGGGACTACAGAGAAACAGAGAGAAAGACCGGGTCTGAACCAGGACTGAACCAGGACTGAACCAGGACTGAATCAGGTCTAAACCAGGACTGAACCAGGTCTAAACCAGGACTAAACCAGGACTGAACCAGGACTGAACCAGGTCTGAACCAGGACTAAACCAGGACTAAACCAGGACTAAACCAGGACTAGACCAGGACTGAACCAGGACTAAACCAGGACTAAAACCAGGTCTAAACCAGGACTAAAACCAGGACTAAACCAGGACTAAACCAGGACTGAACCAGGACTAA